CCTAGAGGTGAACCGAGAGTCTTTGAGACACGGGCCTCCTCACTCATGCCACCTGCCGCTTTTCAGTGCTTCCCAGGGAGTCTCCATTACCCCTCCGCATCCCACCTCTGGGGGCCAGCGGATCGTGCCTTCGAGCTCTGCCTCTGCCGGCACTGGGCCATGACCTCGGGGCCCCTGCTCCCGAGACGGCGGAGCAGCTGTGTCCCACAGCCCACATCTGTCTCCTCCGACAGGTGCCCGTGAGCAGGCAAAAGGGACCCCCCTGGGGTGGCTGAGTTACTGACTGGTTGGCACAAGCTTTATTCTTAGAGCAGCAACTTCCTCATCAAATCTGCTTATGTGTCCTCTACTCCAAGAATAAAACTGCTGGTGGTAAGCCCACTGCTACTTTTCCGAGATATTCTTAGAACAAACTGAAGGAAAACTAAAATTAATCAGGTCAGTTGACTTCGTCCTGAGTCATCGTTTCAGAGAGGACCCTTCTGTGTCTGCCACCCTACCTTCTCTTAGCCCGTCCTGGACACCGGTCCCAGGGGGTTCTCCCTGGATCCCTTCCCTTCAGTCTGCAAAACCTGGTTTTAAGGGGGCGGGGGGGCGGTGAGGACAGTCATAAATTATGCTGCAGGCAGTCTCAGAACATTCTGTTCGGGATTTTCTTTTCTCCCTTTTGTGTGTATCTAGCCTTCTTAAGTATAAAAGGTCCACAGTAGCATCGAACACACAGTTTCTTTACGGGACCAGCACAGACATCCCACACTGACCCTGTTTTAAGTGTTAAACGAAATACCATTACTTGTCTGTCACTTTCCAGAAAGAGGTGAGATGCAACAAAGTCAGCCACAAAACACGTCTCCTATTTATTCCACTTCATCCTCAGGAGAAATTGTGCATTTGCGTGGTCTCCCCCTTTATGTGGGCACTGCAGCCCTAAACTCAGATGTAGGGGAACAAGAGGGCGACATGGGTCCAGGAGCCAGAATCTGACTGAGCTGTTCCCCGGGGGCCATGCAAGTCCCTGCAGGCAGAGTTCGACCGCAGCAGGGAGTTGAGCCACGAGCGGTGTGTGTCTGTTTGTTTATTCCTGGAGTGCCGCTCTTTGGTGTTTTGTTTTGTTTTGTTTTTAACGAAGGGCTAGCTAAAATCAAAAGGAAGAAGCAGTTTCCTCTGGCTGTGCAGCGGCCCCCAAGCTCACCTACAGAAGCCGGAATCGTGGACCAAGGCCCTACAGCCGGAGGGTTTCGTGCGAAGGGCCCGCTTGGCGGGAGCTCTGGTCAGAGGGAAAGGAGAAACGCCCTTTGCTCACAGTGAGTTTTCCCAGGCAAAAGCCCACGTCTTGCTGGAGACCTTATGCAGAAAAGGAAGGAGCTGGAAAGCATACACGGTGACAGCGGACAGGACAGCAGGGGACGTGAAGCAGTGCTGGGGGTTAGGAATGAGCAGCTGCAGGAGTGAACCGCGGACTTTTTGTCCCAGGACAGAAGAGACTCCAAGGCTAAAGAGGTCAACGAGAAAGTTCTTGTTCCCGGGAGAGCTCAGTGTCCCTCAGTCTGTACCCCACGCTGCCCGTCTACACAACATCAGAGTTTGGCCCCCAGTCTCGGGTGAAGGGGGGCGTCTCCACAGCCTCAGAGGGACCACATGCCACGAATGTCCGGGCGGCCGGAGAGGACATTTACAACAGCAGAAAGCCGGCTGCGTCCGGATGTCACCGAGGCTGCACAAACTCCACCTGGGGTCA